GCAAAGCCCAGCCCAATCATCGCACATCAAATGTAGTTCTCCCCATACCTATTCAGCTTCTGTGTCCGGCGCATAATCTTCTTCTTATCCCTCATACTAGTCTTCGTAGGCGCCTCTTGCTGACTCTTGAACGAGAAATCCGCATGCTGCACCCGCATAGGCCCCTGCGGACCGGGTACTCCGATCCTAAAGTTCGAATCATCCAGCATCTGTATCGCGAGGTTGACAGACTCCGGTCGGAAGTACACAACAAGAGCTTCACCCTTAAACTTGCCACTCTCATCGGTGTACATCTTAATGCGCGGTCGGCCGCTATCGATCTCCTCAGCGATAACACCACACTTGGAGAAGACATCACGGATTTCGTCGAACTCAGCATCCAGAGGAATCGAAGTCACATAGACGGCGGTGTTGACGCGCTGTTTCTTAGGCTTCTGTTGCCCATTGCCCTACGCGATTACACATATCCTCTTTAGTATAACACCAATCTCGATGCCATTGGGGCCAACTCAAGGAAGCATCATCATAGAACCGTTGGACTAACCTCTTCCGTAGAAGCCTGTTGCTTGCGCTTCTTCCTCAACTGCGCCGCAGTAATTTGCTCCTCCTCATCAACACCCTGGACCTTATATGCTTCTTGCTGTTGTTGTAGCAAGTCTTCATCGACCTGGAGGCAACCCCGGACGGGCGCAAAGCGGCGCCAACCAAGCAATCAGTTTCACGAACCAATCAAACAATCCCTGCAAGAATAGACATCGTGTATATCGGTCTATTTGCAACAAGAGAGGAAAGGTTCCATAACCAGTTGAAACAAAAAGGGGGGAAGGCGGGGAGGGATAGAAAAGTAGAGACAAAAAATGAAGTAGCAGCAGGTTCAACAGCTACATAACAATCACACCACCCAGCTGGAGAAAGAGCGCGCACACACCGTCGGAATCCATCTCTTTAGCACCGTATCATATTCAAATTCCTGTCCGTCCTCCGTTTCCAAGATGAACTTGTCGTCGAGCTTCGAGAACGAGATGCGCGGGTCGCTGTCGAATTCCGAAGGATCCTGGGGGAAGTTGCTTAGCGGAGGAGAACGGCCGTCGTCGTTCGGGGTAGGCGACGCCATTATTGTTGTACACGATAGACGATATAAATGCGACGGCGATCAGATATTGAAGTAGTAACAAAAGAGTTTATTATCTGGGTTAAGGCAAGGTTGGCTTGATGATGATGATAGGATTTAATTTGAGCTGACTTTCGGATTTGCGGGGAGAGAGAGATCGCTTTATGTAAGCTGCGACGGCTATTCACGTCATGGAAGGCGCGCTTAGCTTAGGCTGACGATTTTGGCAGCTTTACCTTGCTTAGACTACTACTTTATCCTAGTAAATACAAGGTAGTGAATATTCTGTCTTTCATAGGTGCGTTCGACGCGCTTAAAGCCTTAGCGTAATTGTGGGGGGAAAGGAATGGGGTCCCTGTTCAAATTATCTGCATTTGTAGCTTAATTCTAATCGTGAATACGAGGTGAATCTCCCATTGAAACGAAGGGGAACGCTCAAGCGCAGTAATATTCTGTGAATATATTATATTCCAGATATAGGCGCTAGAACACAATGAATGCGACAGATTACTTCGCTCAAATAGAGCGCGTTGCGAAAATTTCGGCTATTAGAATGATGCATAAATTGTATTCTTAGGAAATCTCCGAGTTTCAGTGTGGATGGACCACCACTGATGATAATGGTAGACCGGCACATCACTGGAAAATAGAACGACGCAATCATTACGGTTAAGAGGGTACTAGCAAGCACAGGTGAATAAAACAAATATTGGCGCAAGACTTCCCAGGGGAACGCTAGACCAAGTCGTTGATATCTGCGGGAGGCTCAAGAGGATTCAAAGTGCATAGACTATCTTCAATAGTTGCTCGTAGATCATCGGATGCGGCAAATTACACTCCGCTAAGTAGATCAGAATTTAACAGCGAATTATGCACATTATAAAATCGACAAAACTTCGTCCAACGTGCATTCCAATCGAGTGAGGCCAGTGAGGCCAGCTCCGCGCAAAGCTCAGTGGAAAGGGCACTGACCCCGTCGTGTGGTTTCCAACTCCTTCATAATGTCCTCCATACCCTGACGACCCCTACCTTCGAAATACTTGGGGCCTACATCGAGATTATCATACCCCTTAGGGTAATACTTGTCCCCTTCGTCTCCCGGCAAAGGCCGACCAAGCACCCAAGTCAACCAGGCAACCGGACCCCAGCGGTTCCGGAAACTCGGCTCCACATAATAAGGGGCAGCATCCCAGTTGGTCATGTAGATGCGTCCGCTCTCATTGTAGTCATCGGTGTAACTAACATACCGCAGAAAATAAGGGCGGGGTAGCGCGAGATACCGCAATGCAAACCGACGAGCGGAGAACAGCAACGAGAACAGCTTGGCGTCAAAAGCCGGGGGAGGGTCAATCCTGAAAAGAGAATCAATGAGCGAGTTTGTTCGAGCCCCTGGAAACATTACACAAAACATACAGCATGGCTTTCCGCAAGCGATCGTCCATCATGAACGAGACAAACCTCATCCCAATGAACTGCAGTGACTGGGGAAGCATGTACAGCAGCACTGCGATGGTCTGTTCGGCCACCTCACGGTTCTTGACATGAGGTACCATGCAACGAACCTCATAGTCGTCGCTCCAAGCCATTATTTCCTCCAGCCAATGAAGACCATCGCGAAATCCGGTTTTACCTGATGGGAGGGCATCGTAGCTGATATTCAAGCTGTCGCCCAGACTTTTCCAAAAGGTCCCAATGGCACATCTCTCAAGGTCGCTCAGGTCCCGCCATTCATACATTTTGACAAATCTGACAGGCTGAATGGCAAAGAGGCCGAGTGTGTACAGCATATCATCTTCCAGGATCTTGCCGGAAGCGCGATAGCTGCTGTGGATCCAGCGGGTGCGTGCAATAGAAGTGCAAGCACGACGAGAGGTTGGCGCATGGCCTACGAACTCCTGAACTAGTGCTACTGTATCAGCGTAGCGTTTCAGGGAACTTTCGGGCTTGGAGAATTGGGCTGTATTTGTGAGCACTGTCGAGATGGTCGGGATGCCGTATGTCTGGTGCAGTAGTTAGTCGGCAGGATAGGAAAACAAAGGAATAAGCATAAAGTAGCCGGAGTGTCACACCCTGAAGAGAGCAAACTGGAGTGATTTGAGGTAGAGAAACGGGAACTCCAGCTGAACCAAGCCTTTTTGTATCTCGCAGGCTTCATCGTCGGTCATGCGAGAGAAAGACTCTCGCGTCGTATAGGGGTATTTTTGATATAGTCGCTGGAGGTATCGAAATCGCAGCTGCGAAACCAGAAACGCGTAGGCTGGAAGCAGCAAGCAAACACAAGTGACCAATTGCTGGAATCCCAAACCCGCCACCCGAGGGTCCGTGTTGGGGACAAACCCCAGGAATTTGCCCGGAGTGAGATGTGTGCTGTTATCCATTGGTTGCCTAATATTACTGGTTTTGCTCAGTGGTCCATGCGTCGATGTACAGCTAGTATATAGATAAACTCGATGATGGGCGAAGGGGACTGTAGGAGCATTTTTGAGTCTCTCAAAGTCAGTCACAACTGAAATGAAATGATCTGCATCGGGCATTAGTCATAAGTTGTGAGGGGCACAGATGACCGCTGTGAACAAATAAATTCCAGCATATCAAGATTGAAGATCGACAATGTACAGGGGAGTTAGGGCACTTGATCAGTGATGGATAATATGAATAGTATGCTCGAAAGAGTAAGTTACTTGAACTTACAGGGAGGGTGGGTGGGTCTGATGATGAGGATAATGATGATCCCCCGGGGTTTCATAACTAAGATCTGACTTAACAGTGAGTTTTAAGGTGTGGTTACCCCACCGCTCTCCCTTCTCCTACCGTGGTTCACTGACCATATCGATTTCCAGAGACTAATTATCTACACAGTACGTATATAGTACGCTACGAAGTTTCATCTCATCTCTTTCTGTAATTATTAAGGTCGTTTCTAAAAACCATAAACCTCAGGCAGATTGAGACTGCCTGCCACGACATCATGTGCCCGAGCATAAACCCGCCCATATCCATTACTAATATTGAACAAGTGATTGGCTTCAATGTTATTGGATAGCGAGTATGATAAAGCTGCACTAAAAGCAGCCTTGCTTTGTGAACTGGAAAGTACATACATTTTTTGGTATAAGTACATGGAGCCTCGGCGTGATTCGCCGAGTTCGACCTAAACCTGGTCGGCGCATCAATGGGCGACTCGGTGGTACAGACTGATGCTAGAAACCCAGAATGTTAGTTCCCACTGAACTACTACTAGTAGTCGTACACGTGGACTGCCGGTGTCAGCGCGGCGCCCATGTTAGAGTACTCGTATGGTTGATGGATCTTATTCTTGTAATATTCAGGCTTTATGTGTTTGATGTGCCGGGTAATGATGTAGCATAGAAGCCATCCTACAGGCATTTGAAGAGACGGATAGATACTCCTGATGGGTTTGGACCCGACAGGTGCAATGAACGAGTCAGAGACTTGCTATCTCATCTCAGATTGACTGCTATTTTCCATGTAGCAGCAGCGCTGTACGACACCTGCGGTGCCATGATAGGGCTATTTGTTACTTCAGTAAGGGATGCTTGCAGGTCCTCTCCGTCATAAGAACGCTTATACACTGTAGTGCATGCAATTTGAGATCTGGATCAGTCGCTCTTCTCTTGGAGACAAAGACAACAAGCAATTCTAAGATAATCGTCCTTAAACTCTATATTCGAGATCATCTCTCAGCCAATCGCACAAAAGTACCAAAAACGTTTCCCGGGATGTCCGGTCGGATGCGCCTACTCGCTCACGGCGGACCTGGAATCCTTTACTCCCTGGAAATCGATATTCTGAGTTGCCCTGCGCATGTGTGCAGAAGGTACTCGAGCTGCACGAAGAGGTTGAGGAAGTAGGTTCAACGAGCAGCGCTATGTCGATGGGAGAGAGTTTGGCGCTTCAAATAGCCGTGCTCCGGAAATGCCTCAACATTGTGGACTGCGAAGTCTGCACTCATTCCTCGGCAATTTCCATGCTACTTATCACGATGTGCGGTCACCTGCTTCATATATCTCAAGCTATGTCGTCGCAATTGTGGAAATGGTTCATGCGCGGGTCGCGATTGCATCCACAACTTGCGACAGATCTGCAGGATGCGGAAGTTCATGATGGCAGCGGGGACCCGAGAGGAAAGCTCAGCATGGACCAGCTAGTTTCCATTGGTGCATACAACGTAGATGGCCGTACTGAGCGAGCAATCATCATTCTGAAGGCGATCGAATTTCGAGTTGAGATACTCTGCACAATCTTAAATCATCTCCGAGAGCTCGCGACATGTGCAAACCGGAACAAGCACCTTACCCGAATCCATGCCTTGAGTGTTCGGGTACAAAACCACCTCGCCGATCTGAAAAACTCGTCTACAGATGTTGTGATGATCTCTCGAAGCTGACCGGCCTGGACAACGTAAAAGCTTGTTAGAAATGCACATGGGTAACTTTTCCTTTCGAGACATTACCAGAGGCGTGGAGATGGCCCTGAACCAAGCCGGTATCCTTGTATTTTCTCAAATAGATGCAATAAGAGTAGCATGATACCAGAATAAGCAAGATATCCAGCCTGCTTGGATAACAAAAATCCAGGAGAGGGCATCATGAGACGTAGTCGATGTGGGTGCCACGCCGCAGGTGGTGATAGGTCCAACTTTGGGCATGCTAGACCCCGCAAGTTCTGCATACAAATAAGAAGAGAAGAAAACCAGGCTCAGATGAAAAACATGTGTGCGAGAAGAAGACAAAAGAATAAGATATAGAATAAGAAATTCAAAGAACAAAGTCAAGGAAACCACGAGACAATGACGAAGAATTACCCTAGCCCTCTTTCCAAATTGGGTCTATGACTTCTCCTTGCAGAATTATGACTCTTCACTTGCTCCAGGTTGATATGAACCAAAAACCTTCTGTATCAATTCCCAAGTCTCGTCACGCAATTATCCATTGATCAAGTAATTCCCCGAGTCGTCCTTTCCATAAATGAGTAATATATCACGAGGTATATATTTGTTGGTCAGAGAAGACCCTGCATATGATACACAGGCTCCGGGTGACCCTGATGAACCATCACTGGGCTGAGCCGCAGGGCCGAAGTGCGCAGCCTCTCGAAATCCAGCCTTGGACCAATTTGTGCAAGCAATGACGGTGGAATTGGCCGTACCGAAAAATGGCATCATCTTTGTACTAGAAAAGCTCTCTCTAAATACCCTTATCAATCGTCGAGCTTGTTCGTCTGTAGTCTGCTCCAAGATTGCTTGTCGTGTCCGGCAGGCAATCTGTCCCACGGACAAGGGTGATTTACCATCGGGTGCAGCTGGTACAATGGCGACAGCGGGAAGAATCAGGTTCTGCAGGTGGACACCTGGAGTCGAAAACGGACCTTTGATACGGCCACGAGCATCGAAAATGTTGTGGATTACAGCAGGGCTCCCCTTTTTGGCTTGAGAAGACAATATCATGTGTGAGACCCAGGCTGTGATGAGGTCGCCGTCGCTGAGAAAAGGTGGCTTTGTTTCATTTCCATCTGCTTTGTAGTACTCAGTATATGCAGCTTGACGTAGATCTGATATAAATGCTGCAGGTAGATAGATGGTGCGAATGTGGACATTCCTTCGCGTGAAAAGATCCCACGCTAACCGTAGGACTATGACGACCAGTGACAGTCCCGGAAGCCGCCACTGTTCAAGGACATGGGGACCTTGGGCCTTGTCGCCGTCAGAGGAGCCTATAGATGCTGCCACATCGTTCTTTGCACCCAGAACTGGGGGTATCTGGTCGGGGTGTTCGTTAAGCATGGCTGACCAGGCTTGAAGGAAGCCTACCGTTCCTTTTGCGTCAGTCAATGCGTGGGGAAATGTGACGGAGACCAGTGTTGTGTCTGTGAATGAGACAACTCGCAGTGATAGAAGCGGCTCATCGTTTGATAAGTAGTGCCTAATGTCGGCAGGCAAACCTGGTGGCAGGCTGAAGGATTTGAACGTATCCCAGCCTTCCTGAATTGTGGGCCTTGAGCCTGTGGATTGGGGTAGGCGACTTCCCAACGGGTGTTCTCGAACCGGAACGTTGTATGAGGCATGCGAGAAACGAAATAGAGAGTGATCGTTGACATTATCATATACGTGAATAGCAAGCTTTCCATCATTCTGGTTTCCGCATGTAGGCCAGGATTAGCCAAATGTGAAACTCGGATCAAAGGACCCATGATACACGATGTTATGGAATTAGCTAAGATGATCTTACATTGCGACGTAGGCGACCGCTGAGCTTTCTCCAGTCCTCGGCTTTCAGTAGACGTGTTAAAGCATCATGAAGCTTAGCGGGTTTCAAAATGTAATTATACCGAAATGTGTAAGTGATGATTGAATCTCGGAGGATTGGAGTTTGATCTATAAAGTGGACAGGATACGTTTCATGTGGGCGCGGACTCGGTTTTGCAAAACCTAGCAGAGAACGCACTCTTTGGATGATTTGAGTCACCATGATGTAGATATCAGATATGAGGATTGTTTGTGTGCTGCCAAAGAGAAGGTAGTGATCTTCTTAAGGGGTTGAGGCTTTATGTCGGACGCATAATGCCCGAATTGGCAGTTCGGGGATGTTCTCAATGGGGAAATTTCCAGAAACTCTCACCTGCAGGACATCAAGCGCTCAGCACCAACTCAGGCAGGTCGTGTGTTGGACTAGTTGACTACAACCCTTTTCCAAGACTCAACCGATGCAGAAGACAGCTCATTAGGGCGAAATGTGCACAGTTGGACCTAGAGGACAGGGCACCGTTCTAGTGTCAGTAAGGCGTATACATTGAAACAGCTGAGGATTATGCACTTGCCAAATTGTTTGTGTAAGTCCTTGATTGCTATGTGAATCTTGCCACTTGAGGTGTGGATGAAGCGCCACCACTATTGGAGCCATCAATGCCAGTGTACAGCTTTGGGAAAGAAGAAGGATCCATCCATCACCAGCGATGCGCGCCCGAGCAAAGGGCCAGGGATATGGGTAAGTGGATACATGTAGAGACTATAGATCCAAGTCGAAAGACAATAGTACACTGTCTAAACGGGATAAGTTTTGGTCGAGATCCGTGAGTATGAGTCTGATGATTGTGGAATCGAACTCGGGGTGACCATTTTGTTTGAGAGGTTGATATCGCCGGATTTAGTGCGAGAGTTGTGCTATGTTTGAAATTAGAGAGCATTTGTATGTGTATATCGAATAGAGTATTAGTTAACTAGAGTGCTTCCTATTTGGGAAGTATTGTACTTGCCATCTACTAACCGGCTAATTTACTCATAGAGACGAAACTCGGCTGATTCCCTGTCATGGAAATACTTCCGATGCCCGATACAAAAGTACATAGATCCCCATTGAGCAGGTGATCTCACCTGACTGTAGAAGAATACAAAACCATACCATCACTCATACAGGCCATCTTTGTGTGACATAACAACCTCGCCAGGACAACATTGCTTCTGCTCGGAAGGTAAACACGCAACGGCTAACATTATGATATCTAAAGAGGTATATACACGTACATACAAAAGCATTTTGAATTTCTTCTGCCAGGGGTTTTTATTCACAGCAATAGCAGACGGCACTTTGGTCTAAACAACAGCATATCGGTCCGGTTTCCATCCGTTGTCCCTCATGAAAGCACACAGGGAGGGCCTGAGAAAGAGTCTTCGATACCGTGAAGAATAACATCGACATCTAATCAGCAAACGTAAATTCAGCGGCCAATGACTTTGAGTTCCAGCATTCTAAATGGCGGAAACGCAAGAGCCGTAAAGCCCAACCCCAGCCAGAGGCCCATATCACATCCACCTGGAATCGCTCTGGAGATTGGGCCTGTATAATAGGCTTGATCCTATTAGGAGAAGAGTACCTTGGTCAGAAGTGATTTGTGCAACAAGCACATGCTAGTGGGACTACATACCATGCCAACAATGGCTCCTACCCACCCGATCAAAAAGGCAGTGCTAGCTGCCACTCCAACTGGGAGCTTAAGCCAATTGTTCCAATCGGTCCAGTCGTAACGTTTCCCACGGTTGAAAAGTACGTCTTGTTCTACCACAATGGTGAACCAGATGATGACCCAGTATCCAATGAGTGGCATTAAATTCCCGAAGATCTCATACAAAGAGTTTCGGCCTCCGATAGCACATGATGCGTAGATCAGAGTGCTGGCAGTCGTGAAAACAGGTCGTGGAACCCTGAGCCACATCTCTCCCAGCATTTGGAAATTCAATCCCGTTGAGTATGAGCTGGGGGCATTGTTGGACACAATCGTTAAGACGTTGATGAAGGCGCATAGCTTCCCAAGAGGCCCCAACCGATCATAGCCGGCCATCAGCAGACTCCCCGGTGTGCCGTCATAAAGAGACGCCCATTTGGAGTTAATTGCAACACCGCTTCCAAGCCCGGCGCCAAGAAGAAGGGTTATGGCTATTGAGAAGCTTACACCGATCGTGGTTACTGTCCACACTTTCCATCTTCGTATTTCCGGGGAATAGTAAACCTGGTAGTCCGCGGACACAGGTATCCATGACAAGGGAATAGAGAGGCAAAGTGAGAAATATGTTAGACGCTTTGCGTTTATCTGCTCAATAGAACCGATCGACGGGCTATGGAAGTCGAATTGTGGACCAGCCGAGCCGGTGAGAATGCAAAATATCAACAATTGCGGAAACCAAGCAAACCTTTGCCAGAATAAACGGTCAGACGAGTGCTCTAAAACTTTGAAGGGTGAAGAATCCTACCGCTCATAGAACTGGAATATTTTCATCCCAAAAGTAGCCATTGCCCAGCTCACCAAGGCGACTATTACTATACCGACTATGACGGACACGACTCCTCCTGATAGCTTGGAAAGCAACTGGCCTCCTACAGTGGCACTCATCATGCCGGTTCCCAAGTTGGTAAGCACATTCAGTATACAACAAACCTTACTGGGGTAATATCCCATGAAATACCGAGACACAATCTATCAGGAGAATATAAGTTGTGAGCCGTTGTCCTTAAGTCACGAGAATGTTTATGTGCAGACGGGGAAAGCAAGAGGAGAGAACCAAGGTGTAAGTGTAGGTCTTACAAGTGTGCGGTTGCCGCTTCTGGGACCCCATGTGCTCATGTATCCAACCCCTAGGCCTCCCAAAAACGTTCCAAAGATTACACACAGCGCGGCGTCGGTGAAGCTCAGCTTCATTACCAGTGTTCCCAAAGACCCGGTCACTATATTATTGATTGCCATACCCATGCTGAACCATGTGAGCATCATTCGGAAAGGGGTTGAGCTGGTGTTCTTCAGTCGTTCTTCAAGAGACACGGGCTCGATCCCGCGAGCCTCTAAGCCTTTGATATTCCTCGCCCATCGTTCGTATCTCGATCCACATGTCGGCGGGGGAGTTCCCAGAGTATGTGAAGCCTCTAGCTGCTCTCGTGTCACACTTCGCAAGGAAGGGGATCTCTGTCTTTTTTCTAGGTCAGAGTCCATGCTGGTTCGGGCGTGCCTCTCGAGGGAGCTGTCTGTGCACACTTTCGCGTTCTGCAACAACTTGAACTATAACCTGCAGGGACTCATCAAACTATAAATGAACAAAATAATAAAAGACGGTCGCCTCACTGGGCATACAGACATTCGAAAAACCGGAGGGAGAAGATTCCAGTGGAACAACCACTGGTTACTCCGTCGTACTGCATTGACATCACTTTGTTTTCCTCAGCGTGACACCCGCGCTCCAAGACCAGAACAGCATTCCACAACATCAGAACACTAAATCGGGATACCGACCCCAAACCTGGTCAAAAGTACTATGCTTGTACTGAATCGGGCTTAGCAGCACACGTCTACCTCCCCGGAGAACAAAGGGGTTGGTATCCGGATATCAGCTGGAAGGCACCCGATCCATCAGGGTGTTTGCTCCAACATCGTCATTGAGAGATATTCTTAGTGTATGCTGCCCTATTTTGTTGGCAAGGCCATACACCCTTCCGCACAGACAGTCATGTGAGTGTGTGTGTTCCACATACCACGCCGATGATGCCTTAATAAGCTCTGCGATACATTCCTCTGGTATGCACCAGCCACGCAAGGAGACGAAATGCTATTCAGGGAGAGAAAATTCTGATGCCTATATCAAGAGCCAGCAGGTTAAGACCATGTGCTGTTTGTGGGGTACAGAGCATAGAAACAAGAGTGTCAGGTATGGGACGAGCTCATGAACTGCTGACCGGGACCTCGTAGCCCCGGATTTCTAAGTTGCTTCGATCCTTGTCGGGAAAGTGGTGAGCAGGGTGAGGAGAACAAGGGATCATGTCACCCATGCCTTGTGATATATTCCCCTGACGACTGCGGAAGACGAATACCATTTTGATCAGTTTCCCCGAGAGACGGTTACGTACTCGAAACCTCTTCCTAACTCCTTGATAGGGCTCTGAACACTGCCGCGTGCTCATGTATGATTGACAAGCAAGACCAACTGCCATATTGGGTGGTGACGATCCTTGATAACAGGCGATTTGATCCCGACTGAATGCCACAGGCATGAGTCTAATACCGAGGCAGGCGATATTCCTCAGAGGGACATGATTGAATGAGTATTAATGAGCGATAATGCAATGAAGAATGCAACGCGACATGTATTCACCATCTTCAATAGTATGTTACTGAAAGTGACTACACTTTGCCTGTCAGTGACTAGCTCTGACCCCTCTCATCATCATAAATACTACGCATATGGGGTTACTTTCCTCCACAAACAATTTTTCTTTCTTATCTAAACATGGTACTATTCATATCAATGTGTAAGTCTGGGCGCTCATTGATCGAAAAAGCAAGGTATAAACATTAATCTAATAAGAAACAAGAATTTAAGACATTTCCAGAGGTTATGAACTACTTTATATTATCATCATTGCTAAGTACCTAGAGCTTTTAAGGTTTCATTTCCAATACTGCATGCACCCTAGAAAAAGCCCCTGACATTCTATGCCAAACTTACAGAACCATCGATTTTGCGAAACCAATCAGCATCAGATTCACGAGCATCATTCACATGCAATACTTTACCATTACAACTAGCATATACACTCTCCACAGCGACCGAGGTATACAACCAAAAGGAAGACCGTGCCTAGGGGAAGCACTGCCGGCGTTGACCTTGTCGGCTTCTCGCGCTGGCCCTCTAACCCCCAGCTTGTGGTGTATCAACTGATAATCTTGGAGAACTTCCAGAATACTGACACAGATACATCACTACGGAAACTACTTCCTTTTTGCAATAGCCTATCAAGAAATGCACCCTCTGGGAAGCATTCACGATTAATGACATTCTTCATCTTCGGGATCTCTTGAAATTATCTCATCAGCGGAAACATACTAATGTGATCTTTACACTTCAAATTTCTGATCGACGAAGTACGCCGTGACTTAGACACAGAGAGACTCCTATGTAGTCGCGGGTTCGTTCAAAACGTTATATTTGTCAACACGGCCGATGCGAACATAAACCTTGTTCTGTCCATGCCATGTCCTAAACAACCCACATAGGTATAAAAAGCTGTCGAGAAGACAGTCTATGATGGTGTTTGTCTTTGGCTCTTTCAATACTCGGAAGTAAACCTCGAGCAAGAAGTGTCAGGAGTGTCTACAGGATCCTATATCTTAACCAATCCAGGTCAAAATTGGCTCATGAGAATAAAAGCCAGAGTTATATGTGGCAAGATACACATCACTTAACTGCAAAGCTGCGTCCTCTGCCCTCCCAGTTGCGCGAAATCGTCTAACCAAAACAATGAAAATCCAGGATCGTTCTTCCATATTATATTTGAAACACTCTTGAGTTGCATATGATCCCGAAATCTCAGGCTACTTTGCTTTGGAGCTGGTCATACTTTGGATGTACCCCCCTTCTTCGCGTATAGAAATTGAAATTGACATGCTATGCTGAGTACTTTTCACCCAGAAAACCATTTGCAAGCACTTAGACATTGCAAGCAGTTTATCCTCGAGTGCTGAGTAGGCGGTACATCTCAGTGAAGCGGCACAAGAACTCTGTGACCTGAACGCGCAGCTCCATGACGAACAGACAATGTTTCTAAGATGGGAGAGCGATGCCGCGGATTGGAAGGAAGTTTCTAGCAACGCGAAAGAACCTGAAAGTTCACAATGATGATCAGATAATCAATGACGTACAGATGCAGTGCCATTACCTGCAGGATGAGGTGGCTGACCGGTTCATTATGACTACTACTAGAAAGCACCGAGAGATCTCGTGAGCCCTGTGGCTCACAAAGCATCACACATGGCCAACCAGTGAAGCTGAACTCAGGTATTTTATAGAAATGACTCATGAGAATCTTTTGGGAAAAAAAATACTATCAATCTAGCATGAGGATACATATTCTCTTCTACTTGATTGTTATCTTATTTCTGGCATCTGCATTTACACCCACAGTTTAGCATTATGCCAGAGGCATCATGGATATTGTGTTAAAATTAACCGTCGCGATGATATGTTGTCTTTAAAAGAGGCCCATGACGGAGATGGCTATCTCTTATCTGCGTGTCCTGTGAAAGAGCATAGCATGCTAAATATATTGACTGCTATCCAGTCTACCCAGCAACGTCTAGGTGCTTTTGATGGTGCTGGTTGGCAGGAGGGACACAATAGGTCGATAAGGGCTGATGGTTTCTTCCTGTGATGATAGTATGATAAGCTGCAGATCAAAAGCAAACTGGTACTTCTGTTACCTGACCTGCTAGGGTAAACGTACAAATCTGAGAAGGTTTGATCAGGGAGTCCGTTAATACAGGGCTGTACCAGACAAGACTAACCCTACTCCTAGGTACATTTCTTGTGACTGACTGGTGGCATCAAGGATCTGGGCGTCTTCAACAGCGTCCTGATCAGGCCTCTGTGGTCCGGAAATCCTGATTCTCGTCTGCTGCTCCAGGCCCTGATGACAAGACGAGAGCAAGCACTAGAAGAGTACGACCAAGCTCTATGCCTCATCTACAGTACTCCAATAGGATACTCAAATAATTTCTAGAATGTACTTTCATTCTAAAAGACATATAACCAGATCGCTTTGTTCTTCTGTGTACCACAGCTTCTTAAGGTAGTGGCCTCCAAAAAGCCAAAAGCTGGTAGGTATGATACCGCCTGACAAGGCTGAGTACATGAAAAGTGTAGCCGAAAAGAAATGCATAACCTTCCCCAGTAGCATAAATCAAGCCGCTAATGCCTCCTATATCAGTGTTCGAAGACAGTTACTATATACGACCTCAGTTTGAGCAACTCAACGGTATACGGTTAATTAATGAAACTCCAATAGTCAGAAGACCTCCGAGCGAGACTCTAAGCAGAATGGACATGATAGTTTTGCCCTTTCTCTGGCGTGCTTTCCGCCTCCTTGAACCATATCCTTACAGGTAGACCAGGCTTAGAAAAGAACCAAATGTTCAAGTTGCCGAAATTTGAGGATAGTATTCCAAGATGTAGGGGTGAATATATGTTTTTGATCAAATTAGATTTCAAGATGATGTTCGGTTGTTAGGACAGAGGTGTTATTGGTCAGAGACCACGTAGGCAGAGGTGGCGGGGATATAGGTTATGCCTGGCTAAGTGAATGTCCGAGTATAAACATGATATTTCGGTCAAAACCCGCATTCTCTGGGATATGGACGTTGTTGAAGTACTTTTGTGTTTGCTGAGAGGGAGAACTATGTACTCCATCTGGGATATATATATATAAAGACTCAGAATCTGACTAATTGTCATCAAACTGTCGTAAAGTAGGAAGTGCTCTGAAAGAGTCGTGGACACTAATTTGCTGCGACATCTCTGAGACAGCTTCTCCTCTGGAAGGATATATGCAGGGGACTAAGTGACGAACAATATGCTAAGATTGGTGTCTGAATTCAACTGCTTCTGAGCTTAAGTAGTGGTTGTATACTATATTGAACCTACTAGTAGTAGAAGGTTTTGGGGAGCGCTTAGGGTAATGCAACGGCTTCGGCTAGCTACTTATATATACAGATCAGTTCTGTTGGGCAGTCACCGGAGAATTAGGATGACCTTCAGTTGCCAACAATTAAAATACTATACTAATTGCGGAAACTTCCATCTTCACTCACTTATCCTAGCTTGCTGCTTGTCATATTCACAATTAACACACGTGATGTGGCTGGGATAAAAGTTGGTGAAACATTTGAGTCCCCTTCTGCTGAGTGGCCATTGGTATATTGCTTTGGTCTACTTGGTGATATGTTGTACTGACAAGAACCCAGCTCAGCCGCAATCTATGAAAGTCGCGTTATCCATTGCCTGTCTGTTCGGATTCTTGCTTTTCGAAAGGCTGAGACTCAAAATGCTAACTATGAGTGATACTTACCACAATGAGCCGTCTCCATATCGCATCGGTGCAGTACTAATCATTCAATCACACATACCTCCTCTTCCGTTTCCAAAAAAGAAATCTTTCAGCAAGATAGACTGGATAATTCGCTCTCTCCCCTAGAGCTATGTCTCAAGAACCCCCCGTTGCCAGGCTCTGATGGTCACAGCTTAATTAATATCCAGTTGATCGAGGAACTGCAAACTGGCTTCCGTAAAAGGTCCCAGGTATTTATTATCAGATGTGTGAATATCTTTCAATCTTCAGTTCTACCGACAGATCAGGACATGGTCGCCAAGTTCTATGACCCTCTCTACCACGACCATGACGATGGCAACCCTTTTCGGGCAGCTGACTATGATTACTCGCACGAGTGTGCCTCTTATAAGCGCTTGTCCGAGCTAGGGGGTTCTGTTCTTCCCCGATTCATCGGCTCTTACACATTCAAAACAAAGATCGGTGGTTCTCCTCGCCAAATTCGTTTGATTTTGATTGAACGAGTCAATGGTCTGCCCATGAGTCGCCTAGAGCCCAATATATTCTCAACAGAGAAGCGTAAGGGCCGTCATTATTGACTTGGGAAAATCTGTTATTGGACGATCACGCAATCCTTCCAACAGTGCAGAAGAGAGCGAATGGTTTCCTGGCGTCCCGATTAGTCCACTACTTCAATGGAACATTTATTATGGATATCCTAACAGCTTTGAAGATTGGATCGACTGGCCGTGGCAGAAATGGCTTGAGGTTCAATACAAGGAGACTGAATCTGCGATCACAGATGAGCAACGGCAGAGGTGGCCAGTGTATGACTGGATGCTGGAGATTACATCATTCTCATGATATGGTGGGAGATGTTTTGAGCCCATTTAGTGACAATTTCTAGATCTCCCGGAGAGTCTAACAACTTAGCAAGAGATACAAGCTGTTCTGAATTATCTTCGATGTTCCACCACTATGTTAAGACTGACGTCCATGTGATAGCAGGCCATCACTTCCTCAGATTAAATTACAGTGAGCCATTGAGAGCGTCTTGTGATTCCAATTCAGGTAGTTCTTTCCGACAAAGCAACCACCCATGAAAGTCATGAAAGCTCTTGGTCCGCGCCATCCTCTACGTACCTACTAGCATCTACGTAGCACTTGGACCGAGACATGCGGATCCAACCCTTGAATCTACTGTATGTTGACAAGCAAACAGACGAACGAAAGAGAGACAGCAGCCCAAACCTACTTACTACCTACCCAATCCAACCTTATTACTGTCCAGAAACAAAATGAAAGGGAGAAAAGCTCTCTTCCAAGCAAGCTGACGACATCCGTGTCACCCGGAGCTTGTGCTTGTGGTGGCTATGCTATGCGCATGTAACCAGTCGGCTAACGCAGAGCTTAGCATAGGCGGATTGACAAGTCAGGTTGATGGTATTATTTGCTTATCCGTACGGGAGTAGATACATACCCCATAAGGGTTGGGTTTTGGAATGGGGTCCAAACAAGATATGATGAGACTGTACACCATTGTGGTAGGTGTCAGGTTTTATGAAGCTTCCCCTCCGGGATCATCGTGATGATGGTGGTGGTGGTGGTGCAACGGGCAAACTGATGAGATGGAATAGGATAGGACGGAGAGCTCCGCCCGGAGAATTAATATAACATGACAATAACAATACGCGGGAAAGTGTACTGCATTGCACTGCACTGCACTACTCTACAATGATGAACATATTGATAGATGCATGATCTGATGTCACCAGGTTTACTTGCTGTGGATGTAAGTGGAAATAGGATGCGCCGGATATGAAGTCAAAACCAGTTCAAGTTTCCAAGTCTTTAGACTAACTAAGAAGGAATGTTCTTCCAGACGAGGATAATAAACACATTATTATTACCCTCCGGCTAAGCTAAAGCTAACCTTACTTCCCTGTCGACTTGCTTTTTAGTACGTAGTATGCAAACTAGACTAGTCAGGTTCCCATACGTGGATTAGATGGATGGGGCCCTTTTTTTTTTTTGCACCGCCCCCTTCCTGCCAAGTCTTGTTTTCTTCTTTCTTCCTCTTGTTCCTCTCCTGGTAAAGTAGACTATTTACTGACGGAGAAAGTTAGGTTGGGGGTTCGGGCTGTTCCACAAATCTAGACTTGTTGGCGGGTTCTCTTCGTCATCTTGCGTGTTGTTGACAGGATATTGGTGATCTGTTTTAACATAACCGTTTGATAACTTTTATTTATCCGTCCTTTGACATTCATCACAGTTTCTCGGGTGGCATGTGGTACATGGAATATTCTTTCCCTGGCGAACCCGGCGGTTAGACCTGATGCGTAGCGTGCATTAGCTCGACTAGTCCAAACATTAATGCATCGTCATTAATTTGATGACTTCTTAGTAAGTTACTTAATTAGCGAGTAGAGCGATGAGTAGATAGATAGACAGATAGTAGTCTAGATAGATAACTGACTAGTCTAGTTTATTGTTCTGCGCCGCCTCTCTATCTACTTGGTTGATAGTACGTGGTCCGAGTGGAGCCCCTTTCTTGGGGGTCAAGTTAGAACACTTGAAGAGGCAGGTCCAACATCATCACGATGGATACCCTCATCTTGAGTATTATGAGCCGAGAACAAGAAATACAGTGCGGCATTTGGTCCGTCTAAATACCGCTAGCGTTCTGGGGACCATCTCGTAAACGGCATTGGTAGCATTGGAGGTAGAAAGTATCTGCCTCACTGCTGGTAAATCGGGAGAAAATTGGCTGGTGATGAGTTAAGGTACGTGGATGGAGCACGTCCTGCTTCGGGTTCCATTCCCCTTAATTCTAGCTCGACCGTTAGTCTGGAGAGCGAGGGATGCACTACCGAGGTGTGGATTTTGTCTCTTCCGTCACCACTTTTCCGTTCCCTCCTCCCTTTCTAGTAAGCAACTCATTAGTAGTACCTACTTCATAGACTCATAGTCTAGATGTCACTTCGGATTATTACTTGCACTGAAAAAGACCTGTTTCCCCAAACAGGTTTGGAAACACAGAAACAGAAAAGAAAGGGAGCAGGACAATCATATCAATAATGGCGGGTAATAATAAAGGCCTGAAAATTAATGAAATGGGAATAAAATAAAATAGAATTTTCTGAAAGGGGGAAAGGTGGGAAAAAATCAAATCAAAAGACTTTCGATGACGGGGTCGAGAATGAGGCAGTGCAAAAGTGAACCGACGAGTTACGTTACAGCTTTGGGCGAGTCGGAGCTCTGCAGAGGTCATTAGGCCCGTTAAACAATCCCCCCCAAGAAACCAAACACCCCCAGCGCCCTGTTTTGGTGGCAAGGAGGTCGCCTCAATCCGTGGATATTCCCGTTAGAGGTCAGAAAAAGGAACAGAATGATTGAAAGGCGCTCTCCCTTTATATGGATGGAGGTTTCCCTGAAGATCGATAAACCAGGTGCCCTGACGAAGCAGAACCATCAAACATGGGGTAGATAGTCAGCCATCGGGCAATTGGCAGCTTTTCTTCTGCAAACAAACAGCTTTCGTTTCCCAAACTTACCACATCACTCGATCTGGACCAACCGGTGGGTCCACAGTGGGGCAGATAGCCGTAGTGATTGGTCTTTTGCAGGATAGGTGCAGGGTCTACCACCGAATCATGCTGTAGTCGGTAAGTAGTAGGTACCTTACCTGACAGTACAACTGCGCCTGCCATTCCTCTTTCTTTACTTCCATGATCTCAGTCCCTCTATCAATCGTTCTATCCACCCAACTTCATGATGTGTCGTTGTTCTGCTTGATTCCCCAATTTCTCCCTCCCCCATTCATTCTCCCTTTCTCCCTCCACTTGACTTTCTCTTGCCCTTAGACCCTCTTTGTCTTCGCTTCATTCCGTAATTTACCTCCATTGGTTCTGTGCTCCTTACGCAGACACAAGTGAGGTTCGGTCGCTGGATTGTCGGTTTCCCCCTCCAATTCCCCTCAACGCAAAACGTCTGTCCATTCGTTGGCTTTCAAGTAATACCTCGTCGCTGATAAGCCCTTCTAGCACTGGCAGTGCTTTTAATCCGATTATACTTTGCCGGGATTGGTCCCACCATCGGGTCGCGTTTCGATAATTGTCACCTCCGGATGTGCTCCTGATACGACGTTACTACGTGGTGTGGGCTCTCTGGTGCTGGCAAAGCTTGTCAACCTTCATATTCCACCGTTGTCCTTCCCTCCTTTTCGCTTCACTAGTCGCCTGTTTCCCGTCTTCTCTCGTGCTTCTCTCGAATCGCTGTTGAATCGATGTGGACGTTCCTTACTCCCACGGCCAGTTCCGCGCATTCGTCTGTTTAATCCGCAGCGCCAGTTCTTAGTGTAGCTAGAACACATGGGATATAATACTCGCGCATTCCTCTTCGGTGTCCGCTATTGAGCTTAATCGGTTGCTACTTGCCTCTGGAATGATACCCACTTCTCTTGCGTCTGGATCCGACATTTTATGATACGGCGCTGTTCAATTGTTCTGCTCCTTTTGGAGCCGCATTCCTATTGACGTCTAGTATCCTAGTCCGTTGCCATCGCTCCCAAGACCCACTCATCTCCGGTTGTTTCACCCCTTGGAAATATCATGCCGGATTCCAAATCGGATGGCCATGATGCTAGGCAGTCAGGGTCGACTCCCCTGCGACGGGAGCGGGCCCCGACTATCACCATCGATACGTCGGCTGTAACGTCCTCAACCGACCAGCAAGAACCCCCGCAACAGATACTTCCTACCCCATCCCACCCCTCCTTACAAGTGTCTACCGAAAATGTTGATGCGCATGATATGAGCGCGCTCTTGAGCAGTGGGGGTGTCTCGCCATCGTCAGTCCGCTCTTTTGCGTCATCTGAGAACCGGGACTACGAGAGTCGTCCTACATCCCCGCACAATATCTCCTCTCCCGCCTCGAAAATGACGGAGAACATGTCGAATTCGAATTACCTGGCTGTCCCCGGCACCAGGTCTCGCGGTAACTCGTTGGAATCTGAGGACTCGAATAATTCGTATACCAGCTCGTACGGGGGAGATACCTATGTTCCCACAGCATCTCACGGCTCGCGCACCGATTTGACCCAGAACACGATAATCTCCGATGAAGATGCCCTCAAGCCGGATCCGGGGCGAGAGGCCGAGTTTGAGGTGGAAGACAACAAATTTGCATTCGCGCCTGGCCATCTGAACAAGCTATTGAACCCTAAGAGCCTGGGGGCATTTCATGCGTTGGGAGGGTTGCGTGGAATCGAAAAAGGACTTCGAACCGACGCGCGGAGTGGTCTGAGTTTGGATGAAGGAGACCTGGATGGTACAGTGAGCTTCGAAGATGCCACCAGCACGCAAACGTCCGAATCGCTGCCAAAGAACGCTTCCTCGACGCCAACGAGCCCTCCCAGAACCGACACGGGCTCGTCGAAACATGTCGAAAATGCCTTTGGGGATCGAAGCCGCGTCTATGGGAGGAACAAGCTTCCTGAAAGGAAGGCGAAGAGTTTTCTGGAGCTGGCTTGGATTGCATACAACGACAAGGTTCTGATTCTGCTTACGATAGCTGCAATCATATCTCTCGCCCTTGGAATCTATCAGTCTGTGACGGCAACGGGGAAGGAAGCACGTGTGCAATGGGTAGAGGGCGTGGCTATCATTGTTGCCATCCTAATCGTGGTCGTTGTGGGTGCCGCTAACGACTGGCAAAAGGAACGCCAGTTCGTCAAGTTGAACAAGAAGAAAGATGATCGACTGGTGAAAGTGGTCCGTTCCGGGAAAACAGCAGAGATCTCCATTCACGACATTCTCGTGGGTGACGTTATGCATCTTGAACCCGGTGATCTTATTCCAGTTGACGGTATATTTATTACTGGCCACAATGTCAAATGCGATGAATCCTCTGCGACCGGCGAGTCGGATGTGTTACGCAAGACTCCTGCTCACGATGTCTATCGGGCGATCGAGCAACACGAAAACGTCTCGAAGCAGGACCCGTTCATCGTATCTGGTGCCAAAGTCTCTGAAGGTGTAGGGACGTTCTTGGTTACAGCAGTCGGTGTTAATTCAACATACGGAAAGACCATGATGTCTCTTCAGGATGAAGGGCAGACCACCCCGCTACAATCGAAGCTAAACGTGCTCGCAGAGTACATTGCAAAGCTTGGTCTTGCTTCCGGATTACTCCTGTTCGTCGTGCTTTTCATCAAGTTCCTTGCGCAGTTGAAAGACATGGGCGGTGCATCTGAGAAAGGACAAGCTTTCCTGCAGATCTTCATTGTTGCTGTGACCGTCATCGTTGTTGCTGTCCCAGAAGGTCTTCCTCTGGCTGTCACCCTGGCGCTCGCCTTTGCAACGACCCGAATGCTCAAGGACAATAACCTTGTACGTCTGTTGAGAGCCTGTGAAACTATGGGTAATGCCACCACGATCTGCTCCGATAAAACAGGTACCCTGACGGAAAACAAAATGACCGCCGTCGCGGCTACTCTGGGAAAGAATCTAAGATTTGGAGACAAGTCCACCGAAACCTCTAGTCGTCCAGACGGCGACCGGGGTCGCGACCCTGCGACTACTCTTTCTCCCTCCGAGTTCGCATCCAGCCTTTCTGCACCGGCCAAAGACCTTTTGATTCAGTCGATTGTATATAACTCCACGGCATTCGAAGGGGAGCAAGACGGTGTAATGACTTTCATCGGTTCGAAGACGGAGACTGCCCTCCTCGGATTTGCGCGTACGTATCTCGGCCTAGGGTCGCTCAGCGAGGCGCGGGACAACGCAAATCTTGCTCAGATGGTGCCATTTGACTCCGGACGCAAGTGTATGGCGGTGGTCGTCAAGATGGAAAATGGTAAATACAGAATGCTGGTCAAAGGTGCATCCGAGATTCTGGTTGCGAGATCCACTCGTATTGTTCACAACGCTACCCAGGACTTGTCAGAAGGGCCCATGTCGGATCAAGACCGGTCTAACCTGGACAATTTGATCAACCGTTATGCATCTCATTCTTTACGAACTATTGGTCTGGTGTACCGGGACTTCGATCAATGGCCACCCCGTGGGGCTCCTACTCAGGAGGAGGATCGTTCGCTCGCTGTATTCGATGCAGTCTTCAAGGATATGATTTTGTTGGGCGTCTTTGGTATCCAGGATCCCTTGCGACCGGGTGTGACCGAGTCCGTTCACCAGTGTCAACGTGCAGGTGTTTTTGTGCGTATGGTGACTGGTGACAACATCATGACTGCCAAAGCTATCGCCCAAGAATGCGGTATCTTCACTCCTGGAGGCATTGCTATTGAGGGCCCCAAGTTCCGTCAGTTAAGCAGCCGTCAGATGACGCAAATCATCCCGCGGCTACAGGTTCTGGCCAGGTCAAGCCCCGACGACAAGAAAATCCTGGTTACTCAACTCAAAAAACTGGGTGAAACGGTGGCTGTGACAGGCGACGGTACGAACGATGCACAGGCTCTCAAGACGGCTGATGTTGGCTTTTCTATGGGAATTTCTGGCACTGAAGTGGCCAAAGAAGCGTCCGATATCATCCTCATGGACGACAACTTCACCTCGATTATCAAGGCTATGGCTTGGGGTAGGACAGTCAATGATGCTGTTAAGAAATTCCTTCAGGTATGTTTTTGTATGATTCCGTGTTTCGCAAGCAAAGCTAACAGAGCTGTAGTTCCAACTTACTGTCAACGTTACTGCCGTGGTCCTCACTTTTGTTTCCGCAGTAGCGAGTGGAGATGAGGAATCTGTCCTGACAGCAGTTCAGCTTCTCTGGGTTAACCTTATCATGGATACTTTTGCGGCCCTTGCCTTGGCTACGGATCCCCCCTCACCTCATGTTCTCGACCGTCGACCTGATCCTAAATCGGCGCCGTTGATCAATTTGACTATGTGGAAGATGATTATCGGACAGAGTATCTATCAGTTGGTCGTCACGCTGGTTCTGAACTTTGCGGGACAATCGATCTTTCACTACAAAACGGCAGACGACCTCGACCGGCTTGAGACGATGGTGTTCAACACGTTTGTCTGGATGCAGATCTTCAACCAGTGGAACTGTCGCCGACTCGACAACAACTTCAATATCTTCGAGGGCATGTGGCGAAACTTCTGGTTCATGGGGATTCAATTCATCATTATTGGTGGACAAATTCTCATTATCTTCGTTGGTGGACAGGCGTTCTCTGTCAAGCGACTCAATGGAGCTCAGTGGGGTGTTTCGCTGGTTCTAGGCGTAATCTCGCTGCCGGTAGCCGTGATCATCCGATTGATACCTGATGAGTTTATTAGCAGGCTCATCCCTCGGTTCTGGCAGCGCAAGAAGGGCCCCGAGCTACTGGTATCCGACGAGGACCGGCGGTTTGAGTGGAATCCTGCGCTCGAGGAGATCCGGGATCAGTTGAAATTCCTCAAGACGGTTCGCGGAGGTCGGTTGAGGCATCTCAAGCACAAGTTGCAACATCCAGAAGAACTCCTCCCAAGATCACGAAGCGGGTCACGGTCCAGAGAAAACTCGATTCCGGGTACTCCTGTTGGCGAACACAGCGACAGCACCCCGACACAGCCCCCTACTCCCGATTCCCGCTCTAGACGACGCACTCGGTCCCGCTCGAATTCAGCCTTCGGGCCTGCTGCTGCGATGGCCGGTGTGGTTGCGGGAAGTATTGCGGGCTGGTCTCCAATCGAGCGGGCACCAGGTGACGGAGAGGCTTTCAAGGTCCAGACGGACAGTCCTCATGGAGGCCTGGATAAGCAGAAAGGCATTGAAATCCACCCCGATACTGCGGCTGATGACCGTATCCTGGGAGATTACCAGACTACCTCGAAGACCCCTCCGAGCCAGAACCCAGGACTTCTCCCGCACTTTGAATACGCACCTCCGGAGCGTGCTCCGTCCCACCGGAGCCAGAGGTCTACGTCTCGGCTGTCGCGATCTAGCCAGAGCCAGGCGTGATCGCAAACCATACTCTTCTCCCAAATTCCTCCAGCCTTGTGTACTTACCACCTGCTCTCTCTTTGTTCGCTCAAGTCCTTCTTGCCTGTGATTTAAGTCCTTTCATGCTAGATGTTACTGCGTTTTGTGATTTTACTTGCCGATTCGTTGCTTTTCTGGGACTCGATTAGCCTTGTGCGGAATACTGTGTTTTTAATATCCTGGGGTGGGGTTGGCGTATGTGATTCAAAAGGTGTACTCGTTCGCGGTTGCTTGCTTTTTAGACACTCCTCGCATAGGGATACGGACCTGGTCAAAAGGGGTCGGTTGCTTGCTTTACTCTATTTATTAGTCTCTCTCTGTACATAGCACTTCTTGCCTCGCCTGAAGGTAGACTCGGGTTGAGAAAATACAGTCAATCTCGATAAATCCCTATCATAAGCATATTTGTTTATGAACTTATTCCATAACCACAACAACACGCTACCACACCGACGTAGCCCCAGACTCTACTAGTAAAGCCCAGATTCGCAATTACTAGTAGTTCACCTCTTCTTTAGATGTTTGATAAACAATTCTAATCATGCACTAACCGAATTAGGCCTGTTACTGCTTCCCGCGGAGATGGCCTATCACCATGTGACTTTTCCGCTTATCGCGGGATTCTCCGCAGCGGCGATGGAGAAGTACTTCTACTGGTACTACTGCCCTTGCTTTTTCTTTTGTTCTTCCTCATTTCATTTTCTCAATTTCCTTCTTCTCTCGCAGCAATTGTTCATCATGTCTGCTGTACGTTCCGTGAGAAAAGGTCTTCACCTTCTGGGCTCGAGCTCGCTTGCTCGCCCCGCCTCTGTTGCTGTCAATGGCGCATCTCTGCTCCCGCGGCAGCTGGCAGCTTCTCCGCGCGCTCTCCGCCCCGCGGCCAGCTCCATTGCTGCTGCTCGTCCCCTTCCCCGAGTGACTTCGCTGTCTGCTCAAGGAGGTGTTCGATATGCCTCGTCAGCTGCTCCATCGGGTCCAGTGAAGAAGACTCAACTGTATGATCTTCACTTGGCCCGGGGTGCCAAAATGGTCCCCTTTGCGGGGTACTCCATGCCCTTGCAGTATTCCGACCTTAGCCATGTCGAGAGCCACAAGTGGACTCGGGAAAAGGCCAGTCTTTTCGATGTGAGCCATATGTGCGTATACCTCTTTCGTCTACTGCCCAGGGCCTTCTCAATTGACCAACTACAGGGTTCAACATCAGCTCAGCGGCCCCGGCGCTCTTGACCTCCTCATGAAGGTCACCCCCTCCTCCCTCGACAAGCTCAACCACAACCAATCCACTCTCTCTTGTCTCCTGGAGGATGGGACTGGCGGCATCGTCGATGACACTGTCATCACTCGTCGTACCGATGACTCCTTCTACTTCGTGACCAACGCTGGTCGTCGCACGGAGGACTTGGCCTTCCTGCAAGCCGAGATCGACACCTACAAGCAAGCCCACGGCGCCGACAGCCTGAAGTGGGAGATCCTCGAGGACCGCGCCTTAGTCGCCCTCCAGGGCCCCAAGGCTGCCTCTGTCCTTCAATCCCTCGTCACCCCCGACGGCGCCACCTCCGACCTCTCCACCCTCTACTTTGGTAACTGCCGAGAGCTGCACCTCACCTTCCCCGACGGCACCACCACCCCGCAGCCCCTCCTCGTCTCCCGCACCGGCTACACCGGCGAAGACGGCTTCGAGATCTCCATCCCCACTGCCAGTGACGCCACCCTACCTGCTCGCGTCACCGAGCTCTTCCTCTCCAACCCCGACGAAGTCCGTCTCGCCGGTCTCGCCGCGCGCGACTCCCTCCGTCTCGAAGCCGGAATGTGTCTCTACGGAAGCGACATCTCCACCTCCCAAACTCCTCCCGGCGCCTCCCTCACCTGGCTCGTAGGCAAGGAGCGTCGTGACCCCGCCACCGCCAACTTCAACGGCGCCTCCACCATCCTCCCCCAGGTCGCCTCCCCCAAGACCCTCTCCCAACGCCGTGTCGGATTCACCGTCGAGAAGGGCTCTCCTGCCCGTGAGGGCGCCATCATCGTCGATCTGAACGACGAGTCCCGCACCCAGATTGGTGTCATCACCTCTGGCCTTCCCAGCCCTACTCTGGGCGGCACTAACATTGCCATGGGCTACATCAAGAACGGACTGCACAAGAAGGGCACTGAGGTTGGCGTCCTGGTGAGGAACAAGCTCCGCAAGGCTACGGTTACCGGTATGCCTTGGGTTGAGAGCAAGTTCTATCGTCCTAAGGCTTAGACCCTTTCCCTTTAGGTCGGTTTTATTGGCTTGGATGTGGATGGACGGGGTGATATAGGAGTGGGTGTTTGGCTTGGTTTTCAACAATAGATTCCCCCCTGATGATGATTCTTGATGGCTTGATGTTTGACGTCATTGTTTGTACATAGATTCTGATGATTCATCTTTTTCTTTTTCCTTCCTTTTTCCTTTTGGGTCTCCCTTTGGGGACTAGCAATGGGTTCAACCCTGTCGTGATGGCTGCTCCGTTTGTCGGCGAATGTCAGATTGTGAGATGTGATATAATCGAAAAGTCCCGATATTCCCAATCAGGTGTAATGCAGCACGTACTTCTATCTTATTCATAAAAGTGTGATATGTAGGACAAATCACAAAGTATTCAATCTTACCTAGTGCTTGGTATTATAAACTACGAAGTTATGTCTTCTGCTCCTGGTCCTGCAAAACAAGAGGACAACCCCCCCGGTAGAATTGATAGGGAAGAAGAAGAAGAAGAAGAGTACACCCGCCTCTCTGACTAACCCCCCGACGCAGTTCCTACCCATACCGTAAGAACATAATCTCAGTGCCACAGCATCCCCTACCCTCAACCATCCACCCCAACCACACTCCCCGTCGACAACGACGGCGGCGCATCCCCCACCCCAGTCCCCCACTCACTCTCATTCCTCCCCAACACCAGCACGAGCTCCTGCCCCTCCGTGAAGAACTCATGACCCACATAACTCTTCGTATACGGCTGGCCATTCAGCGTCGCCGACTGAACATAGATATTCTGATAGGTGGGGTCAAAGTTGACTGTCTTCACGGTAGCCGTCTTGCCCGTCAACGGGGAGGTGATCTGGACGGTTTCAAAGAACGGAGCGGTGATAAGGTAGACGTTTTGCCCGGGGTTCGGAAACAAACCTATCATGGTCATGGCGACGAAGGAACCCATGGCGCCGGAGTCGTCGTTGCCGGGGAGGCCTGTCGGCGTGGGGTTGAAGTACCGTGGGATGTAGTAGTGGGCGCGCGCGGTGGATTTGCCCGGCCGGTTGGCGTAGTGGTATTGGAAGACGGTGAGGAAGGCGGGCTCGTTGCCGATGTAGGTGATGCCCTGGTCGTGGAGGTAGTCGAGCCGGCGGGTGAATTGGGTTGGGCCGCCGAGGAGGGTGATGAGGGTGGACATGTCGTGGGGGACGAAGCTGAGGGGGTTGGTGGTGGTTAGTTGGGGGGGTTGGTTCTAGGTGGATTGGGGATGGGGGCATACAATTGGTATTCCCAGATGCTGGACTCGAAGGTCTCGGCTCCGTTGTTTTGTAAGGAGCAGGATCGTCCGCTTGTGTCGATGTTGGAACATGTTAATGGGTCCTGGATGGTATACAATTTAGTTCGGTTTGGGGGGTAGAGGTGGATTGGAGGAGTTACTGACTTGAGATCCCCAGGTTCCGTTGAGATATTTGGGCTGGAAGAAGCCCTGGAAGCCTGTGTCGGTGCCGTTGAGATACGAGGTTTGGTCTGCTCGGAAGAGGTTCTGCCAGTATTGCGACCTTCCCTCGTACTTTTCGGCATCGCCGGTTTTGTTCATGGCCCGAGCCATTTGGGCGATAGTGAAGTCATTGTACGAGTATTCCAATGTGCGGGAAATGCTCCGAGTTAGGGTACCAAAGCCGATGTAATCGAAATCTTCCACAGGGATGTAGTTTAATGCCTTCCAGCTCATTAGTCCTCCACGTCCCTCGTTTGACCAGTCGAATGGTTCCTCCTCGGCGTCCTTCACTACAGCTGCATAGCCTGCATCCCAGTCGATGCCGTCTGAGATGCCTTTGGCGTATGCGTCAGCCAGAATGACGTCGGCGTTCGAGCCACCCTGCGTGTAGCCTGAGAGGGTTAGTTTCAGATATTGCTGGATAGGGGTCATACATACCTTTGCAAAGCGACATGCGGCAATCTGGGAGCCATCCCAGATGCCGCTGTGTATCGATCAATGAGCGAATTATGCGAGTGAGTGAAGCTGGATCGAAGATTGTGAGAAACGGCATCTGGGACCGGAACGAGTCCCACAGGCTGCAGAGATCAGCATTGAACAGATTATTCCGGGGTCACACTACATACCAGTAGAACGAGTCAAAGTAGGGCTCGGAGCTGTCCCACAACGGGTTCTCTCCTGTATAGTCTTGTGGGTTGACCATGGTCCGGTAGATCCCGCTGTAGAAGTTGGTAAGCATACTCGAGTTGATGCCATTCCGTGATACACGGATCGGAGCCATCTTCTCCGTCCACATGTTCACAGCTGCAGTTTGAGTCTTGTTGAAGTCAAAGTCGGGGATTTCAGCTTCTGCATTCTGACATGCCTGGTCGCTGCTGATGAAGCTCAACCCCACCCGCGCATGGATCACATTGTCCGCAGACGAATTGAATCGGATAAAGGCACCACCCTGAAAACTGTCAATATGACATACATGTTATCGAGGCATACGTTACGAACCGGCAGCGGGTATCCATTGATGCTCCGTGATATGGTAAGGTTTTTGACATCTACGCTGGCCCGTGCATCAACGAAGATGCCATTATCTCGGATATCACCAGCACCATGATAGTCGGCGCAGAAGTACGGCACATAGGAGCCGCTTCCAAAGCTGGGAAGAAAGCGTGCATGGCCGGTCATGCGTCCTGTGGTAGGATCTACGGAAATAGTGCCATTGTCCTGGCGAGTATCCGACAAGTCGGACAGATCTAAGAGGATCAAAGGGCTCGACGGCTTGTCGACCGGAAATTGAAAGCGAAAAAGAGCCGTATGATGAGCGGTTGTCATGTCCACATGGATACCTGAGCTCATGTTTAGCCCAAAGTACCCGGGACTGGACTTGACCGATGCAGAGTCGTAGGAGGTCGTCCGGTCCTTCTTGGGATAAGCGCAGCCATTGACATCGTCGTCTTTGCAGGTCACGTAGGGGAACAGAGGGAAAACGCCCAAAGAGGGCTGGCCACCCGTCCCCGAATCATGCATGCTAGAAAATCCGGTAATACTACTGCCATCGTAGGCGAAGCCTCCCTGATTATTGACCGAGTCCGTATCGGCGACAGCCTTGGCCATGCCATATGGGACCGTTGCGCCCGCGAAGACATTACCTGAAAAACACGGCGGTCAGAATCTCGCCCTAAACATAGCTATTACGGGGTAAGCCTCGTGCATACCTCCATTAGCGCTTCCAATCAGAGGATTAATGTATTGTAGAACATCATAGTCGTCGACCGACGCGGAAGAGTTGGCGCAACCTGCAATGCAGGGGAGGGCTACAGACACTGCCAAATGCTTCCAATTAATCATGTCGGCGAAGATTGATTGAGCAAGGGAATGACAGAAGCGAGTGACGGGCGTGGTATATGTTTACACGATTAGACTGGTATGCTGACATGGCCATCAAGGGAGACAGGAATGAGACCATGTCCCCGAGAGGAGGAGGGGGGAGGGGAGTACTATCATCGACATCCTTAAGCATGAAGAGCAATCTCATGCCCCTGATATAAATTATTGACCAGGGTTATCGCTGCAATGTAACCTTTGTGGCTCCGTATGACCAGTCTGAAGCACGATGATCGTGCAGGCAAGCGTTTTTAGCGTCTCTCCCTGGCATGAAGCGGAAGGGTCATCTGTACAACAGAGAGGCCTGAGTCCCGCGGGAAGCTGGGTCAGTTGCTTTTTCTATCTACATGAAGCGCTACCAAGCATGATTCTGAACCAGCATAGAGATGTGATGGAGACAGCATGGTGGAGCAATCTGATCGACGAGACGAAGGAAGAGGAAGAGCAGAAGGAGAAGGCAGATAAGATGCGGAGGCGGAGTTATTGATCGGGAAGGATTGTCAGATTTACCGAATTGGAAGGACAGACCATTTAAACCCAACTTACCCCTATATTTTATAAGGGGAATCTGGAAAGTGATTTCAGTTTCTCTCGCCATCAGGACTACTGGGTACTATCCCTCCCCCGACTCATACAATGGACAATGAGGAAGTTGCCAAAAGTCAATTGCAGGGCCCCTTGCAAGAGCAGCCGAGGTTCCAACGCAGTGCCGCCCCGCCCGACGCCAATCAACGGAGCCTCGACCGATTTTCACGATGCGGAAAACCATGGGACTTTCTCCTGGGAAAAGAACAGGGCGAGGGCAATTTGAATATTTTCGCTGGAACTGGTTTTGAATGGCGCCGCAAAAGCAAAGCAACATCGAGGCTCTGCTGATCTGATCGAGGGGCTCCTTTGCGCTTTACCCCCCCAAAGTCCATTCATTCCATTCGACTCTCCTTTTTCTGTTTCTCCCTATAAGAAACCTAAGAAACCCTCTCGTTCCATCTCCAGTGTCAGAGAGAGTCCACAATCGTCGCCATGCCGCCGGTCCCAACAATGCTAGGCTCCACTACCATGGCCAGAGCTGTTGCTCATGCTCTGCCTCTGTCGCGTTTGCCTCCCACCCAAATTTCTGCTCTGTGCCGAGGCATCTCCCTATCCCAGCCTCTTGCACACAGAGTTTATTCCACTGCTTCTGCAGGTATGTATTCCCCCCTTCCTTGCACAATACTTTATGCTTTGAATAGCATTCAGACTATATAAAAGCACTTATTCAGAATCAAGTGCTCTAACTAATCACAATCAAACTCACAGAGGCCGCATCCCTCCCCTCACAAACACCTCCGACTCGCTCCCGCTTTCGCCGCTTCGTCGGATTCACCACTCTAGCAGTCGTCGCCTTCACTGCTGGCTTGACCTACCAAACCTCCAAATCTGTGTCGCGCATGATGACGCTCAGTCTAGCTACCGATGAGGAGACTCTCTCCGCCTTCGTCCCTCACGATGAGTTCTCCAAGGAGGTCAACGACTATATCCGCAACCACCCTCTGGCCGTGTCGCTGCGCAACGATCCTGCTTTCACCGAGTCCCGCCCACACATGAAGATACCGGAGAAGCTGCGCGCGCGCACTCTCACAGGCGGCACACTCGCTGGACCGGACAAGATTGTGGCTCCTCCGCTAGTATTCTGTGAAGAGGGCGGAAAGAGCTTGGTCTCGATTTTCTACCTCGGACCCAACCTCTGCGGTCACCCGGGAATTGTGCACGGTGGATTGCTGGCCACATTGCTGGATGAGGCTATGGGACGCTGCTGCTTCCCTGCTCTGCCGAATAATGTGGGTGTGACCGCCAACTTGAACTTGGATTATCGCAAACCCGCCATGGCCGGCAACTATGCCGTTTTGCGGGCGGAGACTGTCAAGGTCGAGGGTCGGAAGGCCTGGGTGGAAGGTCGCATTGAGACTCTTCC